TAAGCAGCATCAAACTATTCCAAAAGTTTTGAATTTCCTGTGTATCGGAGCATGATTTCTGTTCCTAATCAGAATAGTAATTTTTGTAACATATTTAATAACACTAGCCAGTTTTAATGAAGACCTGCACAATGCAATGTAACATTCAGCATACTATGACGACATTTTATCAGCAACCCAGCAAGACCAATATTTTGACCAACACTTGATTTAGCACTGAAACAATACTTTTAAACTTGTCAAAACTACCATATTCATTTCCCGTGTTTTCGTTTCATTATAAGTATCCTCTCCTTTTGTAATTTCATGTAATGGTGCCAAATGTAACCACTATTCCAAAGAATTAAAATTTTTGCTAAACTGAAAATTAACATCTGATTGGTATATCAGTAACATCAACACTTGTTAAAAGCATCTGAAAAAAAAGGACTGTTATTTTTTACTATATTTTGCACTATGGTCCATCAAAGAAATGACGAGCAATACTACGTGTGACAATGGAACTGTTTAGAGATTTTTAACAATCTTTTCATTACCAATAACTCAAGCCATTTTATGGTAAACTGATTGATTAATTGTCTATCACAAAATGATTTTTTCTAAATAGAATATTTATTTGTTGAAGATAAAGGTAAACCACAGAGCTTAGTGTGTTCACAAACAGTACTGAATGTAATATAAAAGACATGTTTCTTTCAATGAACAAAAATATTCAAATAATATAAGGGAATCTAGAATTTCAGTGGTGAAGCAAAATGAAAAACAGAAAATTGATTTATGACAGCTACAACTAGTCAAACTGCACCTATGAAAGCCTTTTCGCAGATAATGGGAAAACCAACATTCTTGAAACTCAAGATTTTTGCTGTCTGTATTTCTTTTCTTAGATGCACTCAATTTCAATTCAATTAAAACTTACACATTCATTCAGTAATGCACAAATAGATACTTTCAAACCTACTGGACACTAAATAATAGTGGGTAACATACAATGACTTTGAAATGGGTGGCAGAAGTCATCATAGCAATGTCATTTAGGACTAAGTATATTAGGAACTACTCTAAATAATTTAAAATATTCTTAGTATGGAAATTTTGTTTTTGTTACAAACAATTATTTTTCTTACTTTTCTAGTTAATTTTGAAAGGCATATACACATACTAAAGAGTTTATAATATACATTTTAAAATGGGCATTTCTTGGTGGGCCACATTAAAATCTTTGTAAGCCAGATGCACCTCAAGGGCCACCAGTTGGACAGCCCTGGCATGAATAATAAAACATTCTTAAACATTGAGGGGCTCCACTAATAACATTTGTTTTGGTTAAAACAGTGCTCATTAAGTACAACCTTGTGCTTTCTAAAATAATGTCAATTTTCTTATCCACTCTTTACAACACTATAAATGTTTGTATTTTTTAATCATTTATGCAGGACATTATTAAAGAGTGGAAGTCAAGATACATAACAAATTTAGATGACCTTATCCTCCCAAAAATTCTTAATTTTGAGTTGTGTCAATCAATTAAAACTTCATTTATGACAAAAAGAATTATTGCATGCTCTTATGAAAAATTGAAGTACAATATTTGTAAACATTAAAAACTTTTCGAGTACAGTGATTATCTTATCTTCAGATAAGTTTTGCTTTTGTTGTTCTATACAAAGTAAATATAAAAAAGAATGTGACTTAAATATGATATGTTATTCATAAATTAAATGAACAAATACAGATTTGACAGTTTTTAGCTCTTTAAAAATGTTTCACTAATTCTAGAAAAAAATAAGTATGCTTAAAGCTTTGAAAATATTTATAAATCAAATACAGATTTCATTTTTGGGTTAATGTTTTATCTTGATTATTTGAATTCCTTTAATTATACCTTTCAAAAATAAGTTTATTTTATATAATATTAAACTTGATGTTAGAATAAGACAACTGCAAATAAAAAGTAACGTAGCCTTTCTTTGTAAGCCGAGGAGATGTTGTTATTTGTAATTATGCATCTCCTGACTAAAAGAAAGGAGATAAAATGTAACACAAAGAACCATATGCAGTTTGTATTCTGCTATGGGACAATTGTTACAACAGATTGTTGGTGTTACTATATTTGAACCATATAGTTTCTTGTAGCTGTCATATTAATTTATAACCTTATATTAAAATATTATTAATAAAATAGAGTTTCAGATTTCTGTTTTTTTTTCATGTAATTGCATTAACAAGATTCAGTATTTAAGTTAATTAGATAAGAATGTGCAAAAGAATTGTTTGAAATTTATTAGTAGGGCTAAAAGTTGGTATTTTACATGAATTGTCTTATTGTTCATGAATGTTTTGAACTTCCCTTATACAGCAGATGGCTTTGTTAAAATTGAAAGTATTTCTTCACCTTTTTATCTGTATAGTTTGAAGAAACTGACTGATTTATATAAACATGTGAATTTTTCAGTGAATTAGAATCTTGTAGAAGTGTTTGAATTTTTTACTTCCTTCAAATAGTGTGCATTCTACTGAAGAAATAATGTTTTGTTAATGCGTTTCTTTGTGAAACTATTTTTCATCCAAAGATTGTTTTTATATTCATAGGTTTGAAACAGTGTTTCATGAAATGCCTTTGGCTTGCATCTTTTTGTAGGGTTCACAAATGGTGTAAAAGTGGATAAGTTTTCATATGCCTGATATGTGCTGATAATAACACTATGTGGATGAAGTGTACATCATCTTTGTAGGAAGTTATAAGGTTTGTTTTTGTGAACATGATTTTAATACTTTAAGTATGAATGTAAATTTAGGGACATAAATACTAGGTGAATGATACAAAGTTAATGGTGCAAGTTCATAACAAAGTATAAAATGTGCTATTTTTACTATGGAAATCTGACTTAGTATTGCTTCAAAATTTTCAATCTAATGTTATAAATTTGATTGACTAAGATCCATTATCCAAGTTGTACTGTAACTGCTGTTAGTACTAAAGCACAGAAATAATATTACTGTATTGATGAGAGTGTAGTTTTCTTTTCCTAAAAATATAATTTAGTGTGGTTTTTGTAAGTAAGGAATTTTGTCAAATCTGACCTGTTATTATTTCAACAATTTTCTAGTTAATGATGTGTAATATTTATTTGTACTGGGGATTCAGACATTTTTGGTCATTAAAACTGTCAAAGCAATATATAGGCTGCTCGGAAACAGAGTTAAAGGTTGAATTGTCCCAGTGGAAGCATAAGCTGAAATGCTGATGACAATAAATCATTCTTATAATTGGAAGTTGTCACTTTTTTATATAAAACAAAACTAGATTATTCCAGTTAGCATAACAAGAGTTAAAAAATGGAAATTTATATGGCCTTTCTTCATAAGCCGAAGAGTTGCTACTATCTAAGTAACTCTTGACTAAAAGAAAGTAGAAAAACTGTAACACAAAGAACCACATGAGATCTGTAAACTAGTGTGGGACAATTGTTACAACAAAACTGAACCAAGTTTCAAGTGATATTTTCTCTACTGTACATGAATGATGACAATGACAGAAGACAAAATACTAAAACAAGAAAAACTTTACATGTGATAACCATATCTAATAGTGCAATTAATTTACCACTGATTGGCATAATATGGAAAGTAGATTATCTATTTTGAAATTCTAGTAATGTTATTTTTTGTATACTTGATAGAATAAGAAAATGTTATTATGAATTAAAGGCTGGTATTAAACTTTTTGAGTTTACATCAACTTGGTTGTTTATTGTACTTTAGTATATATGTTAAGTAGATGAAAATACAACTTTATTACCAGAGTACTTTCCAAGGATGGATCTTTTTCATTAGTTTACCTCTGATGAAGAAAGGTCTACATTTCAAAAGCACTCAGGTTATAGGGTTATATTTTTGTCTTTAATTTTTTTGGAGATTCTTGTTTTACTAACATCATGAATGTTGATGGTCTGTTTGTTAAAGATAGTACATTAAAAGACCTGAGCTATTTCTATGGTATTTGTATAAAGCAAAACTTTAATATCAGTGTTATAGAAAGGAGATTCTGAACCATAAATGTTAAGGCTACATTTATCTAAAAACAAAATTATTTGTGTGCCATTGGTCAAACTTTGATTTGAGTTATTTTTTTAAAGACAATATTGCAATAGATAACAGTTTTTTTATTTGTTTTTTTGCCTAGGTTTGTAAAGATATCTTATCAAGGGTGGTGATTTTGATTTTTGGAGAAATACCTGAAAGCTTGAATCACAGATCTTTAATTTTTAACTGAAAGAATAATTGACATATAAATTGTTAAAATGTTATGTGTGAAAGGGCTGCTGTATGTGTCAAATATCAACTTATTTGTATCTGAAAGTATAGTTTTGTGATAGCAGGAGCATAATTTTTCAATGTATGATTGAAAATCTCATAATTAGCATACTCTATGAAAAAGACAGTCCAGAATAAAAAAAAAAAGAGAATATTCCAATACCTTCATTTTGCTGTTTTAATTACAAGAGTTTGTGACTGTAGATATAGCTAAATTATAACTACAGTAAAGTGTATTTTGTAATTTGAAGTTTATTGCTTTGAGTTCAATTGGTTAAATGTGCTAAATGTATATATACACAAAAATTGAAGGAGTTAAAGGTTTTTTAAACTTGGAGACATAGTGCAAAACTGGTCATAATGACAACACCAGTCCAGTAATACTACAGTTTCTCTTAAACTGCATGTCTACTCAGATGAAATTTAATAATAGTTTTGTAACATTGACAACAAAAGATGTACTCATGCTACTTCATGCCCCTAAGTCAGTTGTCAATATTAAGCATGAAAAGTTTACTGGTGTCAGCATAAAGTAGTCATGTTGACATTTGTTGTATAATGTTATGTTATGTTGCTACTATTTTCTGTAAAAGAAATTTGTATAAAACCAGTCCAGATAAAACATACTTATAGTTGAGTCATTTTGTTCATTATTATTTATTAAAATCTAAAAGAAGCAGGTCTTTTTTTTTTTTTGTAAAACATTATACAAATATATTAATTGAACAATTTGTGTTGTGTGGTAATTCAAAGTTCCACAATATGATTGTTTCATTTCATTTAAGTGATAGAGATTCATCCCAATAATATAATAAAAAATACATCTTCATTTTTGTGTAAAGTTCGCTAAATAAAGAACTCAAACAGTTGAAACTTTGAATTGACTGAGTTAAATCCCAGTTTTTTATATATGTAAACTAAACAAATCCAACACCATTTTCATCATGGAAGAATAGATCTTTAGTTTTAGTTTTTTTTTTTTTACAAGTTCATTGAAGTGTCTGCAATGGATCATGTATCGCACATCCAATAAAAAAATTTCAAATAACTGCATCATTTTTACTATAGTTGTTATTGTAAAATCAACAAATCTGACTTTGTACTTCATTCAATGTTATACAATATTCAGAACACAATTTACAAATTATACCTCTCATAGTAGTCATGTAAAAATGCTAGTATTAAAATAATTTGTAATACTTTAGTTCCAATAAGAAAATACCAAATCCAACTTTTTAAATGAAATATTTATCCTATATAATGGTAAGATAACCAATGTAAAGAAATAAAAACCGGATATGGGAAACAAATTATATCTTATGGTTATGAATTGAAAATTTAATCTTAGGTTACTATCAATTTTGAAGGATGTTTAAAAGTAATAGTTCAAAGGATTTATGATGAAAATATACAAGATGAGTGCATTCTTGTACCACTGCATGCAAATGTTTTGAGCAATAGTATTCTAATAAAATCAAAACACTTCTGATGGGAAAATATTCTGTAGTTTTTTTACCTGCTTAAATGTATAAAAATTCTCAGGTAAAGCTCATTTTAAGCTTAAAATTTCTTGCTATTTTTTAGATACAGAAAAATTCTTAGAATTAGTTTCTGAATAAGAACTTTTTAATTTTGAAGTGTTGTAATAATTTTGCTTTTGTAAATTAGAACATAACCAAGGAGACTGTTCCAATTATTTTGAACACAGGCACATTTTCACCCCATTTAGTTATGAAACTAAATGATCATAAAACAACAGTTTAATGAATGTTGGTTATAACTACTAATTATATATATACATATATGCATTCTTGGGGTAATCCTATAAATGAAATATTATGCCCATGTACACAGCTGAAATAATTCTAAAACTTTTGTCTCCATATCTGTGATTACCTGAAAAGATCCTACATCAAACACTTGTGTTTATGTACACATGCCTATTAAAAGAACTATAACTAAAGCTAGATATATGTTTAAACACATTAAAAAGAAAGATTCTAAAAGATGGTCTATGTTCCTACAAGTTATGGAAATGAATGTTTTGACTACAAATTTCTAATTTATGCATTTTTCATATCCATTAAAATTCTGGTATTTAGTTTGTAAATTTTTCATTAATCAGTATTTAACATGGTATATTTTATGAAGGAACTAGGAAAGTTGAAGTAAATGAAAATTGTACACAATAAAAAAAAAATACTGTTACAACATTGATGAAGTATTCTTACATAAGTTCAAACTGATAATGAAAAAAACTCACTACCCCAAGGTTTTTATTAAAGTTCATAAGTCATTAGTTAAATCTACTTTTTAAACTAGTTTTGGATTTTGTTCGTTTCATTTTTGTCTCTATGACCACAGCCCAACTTTCCAGTACAGTGTCTGAATCGTTTGAAGTCACTGATGTTGATGAGTCACTTAGCAAAGGGTCCTTTAGTTGTTGAGTTTGAGACTGAACAGACTCCATGAAGGGGTGATATGAACCAATATCTAATGAATTTTTTTGCCAAGGGAGAAATTTCGTAAGTGGTGGAGAAAATGTGAAGGTTGTAGTGCATGTTTTTGAAGTGTCAAACGTGGGAAGATCTACGAGTGATTAAAAAAAATATTTAGCTTTTACAAAACTGTATAATACTCCTTAAAGATTTTATTGACAGTTAAATGGTTGATAAAATTACAATACTACACTTTCAGTTAAAGCCTTAGCATAACTGAATATATGTTTTAAGCATATATCTGAAACTTCAATTTATTTAGGATACATAATTCCAATAGAATTGCTTTACATACCTTCACTTTCTTTAGGCACAGTTAGTTCTGCAAATATACACTTGGAGTAGCCAATTGCATCTGTATAAGAAAGATATTTAAGCATAATAAATCGACTGAATCTTGTATGTGTCCCATTTTGCTCGAGACAATAACGTAACATTAGATACATAATAGCAATACTGCTTAAATGAAGAATATTCATCAAAATGTAAAATAGCTGCTGTAGTTTGTATCTAGTAATGTTAGTACAAATATTGTTTTGATCCTTAACTTCTGACTGAGTATTGTGTCAAACAATACTTAACTCAAGTTTACAGAAGGAATTAGAAATATTTGTAATTTTCAAATTTTTTAGTGTGAAGACATACCATTAATCAATATTATCTGTAAAATTGTTACAGTTACCAAGACAGACTTGAAAAATCTGCTTAGTACAGAATAGCATATAAACTTGGAGAACGTAATGACATCAGTTAAATATGAAAATATTTATGTGCCTCATCAAAATACCAGTCCATTTTACATTCCAGAATATGAAAACATACCAAATATTGAAGCATATAACTTCATGTGTAATATGTTGGTTTTGTATATAGTATTCCATATATCATTGTTTACAGAAAGATCCAAGTCTATGTCATGAAATTAAATGTTCTACACTATCAATTTGATACCATAATTATAAACAAAGCATTGGTATATGTATAAATTGCACTTATTTTGATGGACGAGTTTGAATTTTATTTATCAAAAACTTCTAATATATATATATATATATATATATATATAAGTATTGTTAAAATACAAGATGCGTGTGCTGATACAATCAAACCTGTAGTAAGCAGTCATGCCTGAAAATATGGCCATGGTGGCTAGTTTAAGACAGGAGGCTTTTCCACACAAGTTCAAATGTAATTAGTTCTGAATTTTTAAATTATTCTTAAGTATGCTTGTGCTTAATAGTATGGATCGTGATGAAACAAAATGGCTGTCTGGGGTCCCAGTGATTCTTGTCTTGTACCAAAAAGGATATTAGTATGTATAAATATTAGGGATGCATGAGTGCCAGGACAGGTATTCAGCCCCGGCCGGTTATAGACTACCTGGTAGTACTTGGCTTCGGCGGAGTGTCAAAGTTAAAAACAGCCAAATCTGGGTAATTGAAAATGGCATCTAAGTCCTAATCTTTGTGGCAACTTATGCAGTACTGAAAGTTACAGTCAATAATTGGTTTAGTTTTTAAAAAAAACATGATCTAAGCAACAAAGACTGACTGCCTGCTGAAAGTTGGGAACTCAGAGAACAATAGGGGTTAATAACAGGCATGGCTTTAGAAGTGGATTTATGGGAAAGGTGGGGGTTCGAGAAGTTGGGGCAAGGCATTGAAAGTAAAACTTGAATGTTCTGTTGGTGATTATTCGGTTAAATGTAATAAATGTCAATTTTGTTTCTAATTTCTGTGTATGTTGTTAATTTAGGGGGGGAGAACCTGGTGTTGGTTGACACCCAGCCCCGCCCGAAGTTTAGTGAGCGGGTACCTAGACGTGGTATTCGGCCATATTTTAATATTGTGCATCCCTAATATATATATATATATATATATATATATATATATATTCTTATTTTGGCAAGTCCCTGTAATTATGTTAATTTGGCCAAAGTAGGGATAAACACTTGAAAATGTTAAGTAACCCGTAGTTTTGACTTTTTTGTTTTAATACTTTTTGTTGCATTAAAACTGTATTATTATAGCTATGTTAGGTATATATTGAACCTTACTTGTCTTTATAAAGTTTAAAAATTTATTGTTATATAAATGTGTATTATGTGAAAACTGAAACAGAGAATTCACAATTTCTTTTTTTTAACGTTCTCTAGTGGTACTCACTGAAACCACACTTACTAATTCCTGATAAGAAAACAGTGAGAATCAAGGTTTTGTGGGTTTTTCAGATACTGTTAAATGAGAAGTGTCATTTCCAGTGACCTTCATAAAATCTAATCTTGTTAGTACTGTTAGCCAAACTTTTCTTCTCTTAGGCTGCTTTCTAATGCAAAGTAAATGTACTTCTGTGTCTCTATCTTGCTTATTTGTAAAGCCATAACAGTACAGCTTTTTGGCATTGTATATTGTTGAATAAAAAAATAGATTTTTTAGTTCAAAATGACACAATGCACTGTCCACCATAAGGAATTGGAGCCTGTGTTTTTGCATTACAAGTCTGTGAAATAATAAATGAACAGAATAAATCAAAATTTCTTCACTATAATAACAGCCATTGTTCTATATATTATCCAAATGTTGGATGTTAATTTTCTGCCTACCAGTCATTGTGCATAACAGTAGAATGTCAGATAATTGAGTACTATTCTTTAAAAATTAATTTACTCATCCAAATACCTAACAGAATCTTATAAAAGCATGAAAAATATATTATTAAAAATAATAATTTAAAACATATAATACTTTATTCAACAATTCCAGTATATATCTATAAATACACATATATTATTAATGTATCTACCTAGAGTATGAACTTATTACATTAATAACATAATTAAATATTATGGATAATGACATAGAACTGAGTAATATACTAAAACATTATTTCACAATGTACTTTTTATGAGGTGATTATAAAAACGCATATAAAGGAAGTAATGTAATATTAAATAAAACTGGTTTCACTATGTTTTTGACATAAATTTCATTTAAAAAAATACATGAAATAAAATCAAAGGAAACTAGTCCAGATATTTTAGTATATCCATATTTCAGTAGGTTTTATAATAAAAACATGCCTTTTTCATTCATAGACTTGGTATTTGTTGAGTTTAGTGGAGAATCACACTCCTCAAGAGCGATCCCAGTCTTCCAAGTGGCAATTCTTGAAGAATTTAGATGTTGCATTATGGAAAATTCAGAATCTCTGGACTGTGTTGTTACTTCTTTGGGGCTAGTTTGTGATGGAATGTTTGACCTAATGGGATCTTCTGATCTACCTGGCAAACTCTTTGCATTTTCTAACTGTGGAAACTCCAAATTATCTTTTAAAGAATTAGCTACAGGCATTGTTGATAAAATCACAAGATTTTTGTTTTCCTATAATAATAAATATTTTTCTAAATTAGCCAATGCTGTTGATTACAATTTGTTTTTGGTGTCAGGAGTACACTTCCAGCATTACATGATTTATTATATGTACTACATATACAAACTCATTTTCATGATACATAAAAAGGAATAACTTTTTCATAATATAAGCAAATCAAAGATAGAAATCCCTTTTATCTACATCACTGTACAGCTCAGATATTGTGTTCAGTCAATAACATAAATAAATCTTTTGAAAACGTTACTTTTTATTTTCAATTAAAGGAATTAAAAATATCAATAACCCACTCATCTGATCTTAAGCTTTTAAAAATCTTCCTAACCAAAGGGTGTTGAACGATTACCGCAATATTACAAGTATTTTTGTCTAAAAGGTCCACTATTGTCTGACTGTTTTAAATACACACTTGACTATTATGTAAATTACTTAAATGTTTTGTGTAGACGTCCATTTTTTATTTCGAAATCTCCCCACCCACCCCAATCTGTAGTGATGGGTACACGCCTTTGGGTATATACTATAAATAGAAAAATGGTTCATCAAAGAATAAAAAAAAAGACCAAACATTGTGTAATTATTGATGTTTAATTTCATAAAATGCTATATTAGTGGTAATTCATAAAAGAAAAACAGTTGCTACCTAAGGCAAAACATGCACACACATCCAAGACTAAATGTTTCTTCCTGGTTACATTACATCTGAATACAAAGCTAGAATTTCAAACATTATTTAGAATATTAAAGAATATAGAAATAATTATTGTGTTTTAGATTGATTTAAGAAAGTTCTCACACTACACTTGTTTTAAATTCTGCATTAAACAAAACTAGCACAGACTTCACTTGAAATATGAGAGGTGTGCTACACAAATGAAAAAATAATAATGAAAAGGCTTTAAGATTTATAAAGCATACTCACAATTTTGTCTCGTTGGTCAGAGAAAATGCTGTATTTTAATTATTACCTGCAAGTTATAGATGTACCTATAATAACATTAACTACAAACTTTATATATTTATTCATATAAAATAAGTCTGATTTTTTCCATCGGTCATCCAGTTGTTCTACATTTATGTACATGTAAACACACATACACACCAATAAATATGCCTAAAACATTAATTATAATAAATCATTTATAGCTCCAAGTGATGAACTTAAAAAGTAATAATTGATAAACTTACATCAATGACTGGTTCAATGTGCTCTTGTTCTGTTCCAAAACTGGTTTGGAGGATGGAATTTGTATCCAGTTTATCTAAGGCATAATTAACAGATTTTATTGGTTATAAAAAATAAACCAAGAAAAATAGTTGGCTGAAATCATTGTGTAATTTGGTCAAACAAATGACTGAATGTTTCCATGCTTTTAAGTAATATATTTTGAACTAGTATCAATATTAAGATTAACATTTGAACCAACGAAGCCAAAATATTGAGTAAAAACTAAAAATCAGTTATAGATAATTCAGTGCTTTACAAAGTGTAACTATTTACCAAAGAACTTGTACTGTTAATTTTTAAGTATGTGATCAGTTGATTTTTCTAATAAAACTATAATGTTCAAAAACATTTGAAAATACAAAAGAAAACACCAAAGAACAAAAAATAAATCTTAAAAGTCCACTAAAGTCAAAACAAGTAATCTCAAACAGTGACATTTTGAGATGCAAATATACACCATTCTATTCTTACCAACTGAAAAAAATACAACCATGTCAGTGAAACCAAGTTTTGAAATGAATAAACTCATTCTACCACATTGCATTTAAACATCATAGATTATTCAATTACCTTTTTCTTGAAAGTCTTCTTGTTGAAACATGCTCTGCTTTTTATCAACTGCAAGGCTTGCTCTTTTATCACCCACGTCCTGTTCATTCTCAGTTTCTGAGCTACAAAGAAAAAGCCTGTATGTTTCTTCTTCACATTCCATCATCACTTCTTCAGCTTTTCCCATGTTTACAGTATTCATAATTATATTTATGGGTGCTTCTCCAATTTCCATTTCTACCTCTGGTTTTTCAGTGCTGGTAACTGTGAGTTCTGTGGTAGTTTCCCTATCATGGCATGACACTCCAGGGTATACTTCTGTGTAACATAGTTTTTCTGTAGGGTTAATGGAAGGTTCTACTTCAAGTGATAGTTCAAACAGTTTTGTGGAATCTCCACTATTTGATGATGCAATACTAGATGCTTCTGAAGGATTAGCAAAACATTCTTTTTCTTGGACTACTACTTCATCAGGTGTATTAGCTAGTGTCTCTGAAAGTCCTATTGTGTCTTCCCTTTCATCAGCTACTACTTCAGTGAGTGTTACTGAGAATTGTGCTTCCTCTGACGTGTCCATAAAAGTATCTAAAAGTCCCACTGTGTCTTTCCTTTCTTCAGCTACTATTTCAGTGGGTATTACTGAGAATTGTGTTTCCTCTGATATGTCCACAAATGTCTGCAGTACTCAGTAATGCCCAATGAAATAGTAGCTGAAGAAAGGAAAGACACAGTAGGACCTTCATGTTTCCTCTGATGTGTCTGCAGAAGTCTCTGAAGATCCTACTGTGTCTTTCCTTTCTTCAGCTACTAATTCAGTGGGTGTTACTGAGTACTGCATTTCCTGTGATGTGTCAGAAGAAGTCTCTGAAAGAACAAGAGCATTTTGTCTATCCTGTGCTGCTATATGAATGGGTGTCACTGAGAAATCCACTCTCTCTAGTACATTTACAGATGCCTCAGGAAGTCTTAAAATATCTTTCATTTCCAAAACTTCTATTTCAATAGGTACTACTGGGAAATATACTTTTTTTGATGTATCAACAACTGTCTCTGAAGCTTCTACAATATTTTTTCTTTCTTGATGAACTGCTACTTCAATGGGTGCTACTGAGTACAGCACTTCCTCCAGTATGTCTAAAGATGTTTTTGAAAGTCCTGTAGTATCTTTATTTTCTTGCATTCCTACTTCTAAGGATGTTACTAAGGGTTGTAGTTTCTTTGGTGTATCAAAACTTTTTGCTGAAGGTCCTACAATAACTTTCTTTTCTTGAACTACTTCTTCAATGGGCATTACTGAGTACTGCAATTTTTCTGATGTTTCTGAAGGTCCTATAGTATCTTTATTTTCCAAAACTATGACTTCACTGTGTGTTTTTGAGAACTGCATTTTCATTGGTGTATTAACAGGGGTCTTTGAAGGTCCTACAATACCTTTCCTCTCTTGAGCTGCCACTCCCATGGGTGATATTGAGTTATGAACTTTCTCTGTTGTGTCTACACATGTGTCTGAAGGTACGACAAAGTCTTTCCTTTCTTCACCTATTACTTCAGTAAACATTACTGAATGCTGAAATTTATCTGATGTATCAGCAGCTATTTCTGAAATCTTTACCACATCTTTCCATCCTTCAGCTGCTAGTTCAGAAGTTGTTGTTGAGAATCTAAATCTTTTTGGCATTTCATTAGTTATCTCTGAAGGTTCTAATATATTCTTACTTTCTCTGAATGACATCTCAGAAGAATTTAATAATCCCACTTTTTCTGGTGAACCAATATTTGACTCTAATGATCCCCATATGTAATTTTGTTCTTCATTTGGTGTTTTGTATGGTATTATGTGAATTTTTGTTTCATTTTGTTTATCACAAGTTCTTTGTGAAGGATTTTCTACCATATAAACCATATTTTGAACTGGTACTTCTGAGGGTGTTAACAGTAATTCTGTTTTCTCTTGTGTTTCAGTGATTAATCTAGAAGATCTTAACATATCTTCAATTTCTTGCTTAGACATTTGATCAGGGACATGGCTGTTTTTATGTCTGAAGGGCTTTGGGTATTTGCCACTTTCATCACTTGAATAGTTTTCTACTTTTGAAGTTTCCATATTCAACTGATGTTCAACTTCAAGGATTTTATAAGTAAATGGTTCAGCAGCTTCATGTGAGGCAGACTCAGTTTGAATCCATGTGCTGTACTCTTCAATAGATGAAGTTTTGTAAACAGATGGAGTAGGTTCAGACTCCTCATCAACCACTTTAGTTTCTATGATGTCTTCAGTGGCTGAAAGGTGATAAAGGGTTTTTCAAATGGTAAATGGAATACTGTTGGGTACATAGCTTAAATAAGTTATAATTCATGTCAATTTTTATTCAAGTAGTCAACAGACAGGTTTATCATTTTTCTAAATAATAGTATTCTTTGAAAAAAATGAAATAATTAAAATTATTTGAATTAATACTAACAATCAGTTTCTTCCTCAGTTACCTACGAGTTTTTGAATTATTGCTACAGTATTTTTTGTGCTTTTTGGGAACCACAAAAGTATATTTTCTCAAACTGTTGGATGGTTTAATCACCATAATTTGCTTGATTTTCACTCATGATAATGCAACAAGACTTCTTGACTGTAATCCATATAATAAGACAATGTTATTTGTTATTTGTGAGATTAACCTATTTGTATTTTGTTACACCTGAAACTACTTTTAATGTCCATCAAGTTAAGTGAACTTATTAAAAAAAAACAGTAAGGACTCTGTTAGAAAACTGTGTGCCTTTTGAAGGTTAATTTAAATTTCAACCACACAATGAGTTATTGTTCTTGACATTATATCAGTGAAACTAATAATATTGGAAAGTAATGGGCTGACACATTTTAGACCATACACAAGTATAAATATGGATAAAAATTTCAACAGGTAATGTTTAACAAGACTTTTTAAACTTACCTTGTTTTCTAGGAAGACAAAAATTACAATACATTTCCTGTCTCATGTTGACAAAGTCATTTGAAGCATACAGATTTCTTTAAATACTCAGTTATTTTATATCATAAAAGACATTAAAATGGTCATCATATTAAGATTATTCACTTATGTGATGAATTGTTCACTAATATAAACCAGTGTTGTCCAGTGACCAGAGCAATGAGTAATATATATATGTACATTAACAAGGCATGTGGAGGGAATTTATTTTCTACTTTTAGAACTTCTAACCCAAAATTAAATTTTTAGTCAACTATTCGATTGTTGCAAAATTTGACATGTATTCCAGGCATCCTTCACTGAGTTTTGTAGCAGAATTATATTTCAAAATAGAAACCTAAGTGTACATAATGCATGAACATGAAACTAAGAATACTGATCATCCAACAGTACATACTTTTTTAACCATGGCATACCAATGGTTGTGATGATTTGAACTTTTAATGACAAAGTAAAGATATGTACAAAAGATGCATAAATAAAGTTATTTTTCATTTCTTATGTCTTCTAAACAGTCATTAATAAATATTAAAACAGTTCACCATTTACTTGTAAGTCCAATTTGTACCCAAATTAGAGTATTATTTAAATCATGACACTGCAAACATGAAATTTATGTTAATCGTTTATAGCTACAGTAATTTTCAAACTGAAAACATGAAAATATATAATCAACAGCTTTGTAATGAAATCAACTGAAGCTGAATACTTTTATTAAAGATTTTTCTGCATATTTTACTTAATTGAGTATTTCTAAAACAAGACATACACAATTCATTTAGGCCTATGATTGTGAGTTTTTTCCCATTTATATAAAAGTAAGTTTAAGGTGCAGAAGAACTGATAAGAAAAAATAATTCATGCTAATGGAAAAGTACAAAATGATACTTTGATCAGTGTATAAAGAAATATTAAAGTCTTTGGGCGTAACTGATAACGTAGGTGGACATTACATAAAGGGAAACTAGAGCCTACAAAGTAATTACTGATAATATAAGATGATACCTTGTAAAGTGATATCCCAGTCTAAAGCTAATTAAGGTTGTGAAAACCTTAGTGAGCACTGATAAACAAAGATAGGAAGGGCTGATGGGCTATTGAAGAAATGCAATCTGATGTTTTGGGAAGTTTAAAGTCCATGAGCTGATGAAGAAGCACAAAATTATATCCTGGATCACAGTTGTGACAAAAGTTAAGAATAGATTATGGGCTGATGTGAAAATGCAAACAGATACCTTAGCATTGGCAGCACATAATAGATAGGTAAAAAAAATTATGAGCTAATGTACAAATGTAAGTGAGTATATAAGATGAAGCTACATATTTTAATTCATGTAATGATAACTGGAGCATAGTACACATAATTAAAAATGAATAAAACCACTATAAAATCTTACATGTTGTTTATTTGCTCAATGTTTTGCCTTTACATATATATATATATACTTAGGATCTGTATTCCACAAATACTTCATGCCTCCTATCTATATATGTTTTCATAAACATAGTGTTTTCAAGTTTGCTTTTCTGAATTTTAGATTAAGAAAAATAACTTCATATTCCAAAATGGTTATTAGTAATTCTATATAGAAAAATATTGTATTACAGGTTTAGTAGGGAAACAGTATGTTTTGCAAATTTAATGTCTGGATTTCATAATTGGAAGTAGCAAATTTTTATTGTTTGTTTAACCAGTAGACATCCAAATGATAAAATGTAGCTTCATAATTACAAATAAATAAAATGACTGTGAACTCAAGAGAGTCTTACAACTCATTTTATTTGCTCAACGTTTTGGCTGTACACCTTCATTAAGAGGATATAATTTCTGTAATGAACTCTATCACTACTATTGGGTATGTAATGTGTCACAACACAATGAGTCACATTGTATTTTCTTAACACTTGTGACAGTTATATCACCTTGTTAGATGTTCAGTTTCTTTTAACTCGCACACAATTCATATTGGAGTCTTATCTTACACATATCTGTAAAAACAATATAATGCATTACAGAAATTGTATAATCCTGATGAAGCTTTAAAGGTTTTGAAGAATTCCCTTTTTTTAAAACATATGTAACGTATAGTATGAAGGAAGCAGCAGATCAAAAATGTTATACGAAAAATGTGGACACCAGTGAGCCACAATACCAAATATAGGACATACAGGCTTGAAGACATTCCACTTTTAACCTCAGAAGTGAAAGAATTTACAGTTACCAATTCTTGCACCAGACAGTCGTGGTATGTTGAGAAAACCCCAATAGTTAGAAAAACACACAACTGGAATGAACACATGTCACAAAAAAAAAAGCAGTTAATGAGATGGCGATGAAAGACAAGGGTGAAAAATACTCTTAGTGAAGAGACTGTAGTTATATGATTTGTCTCTATATGCCCTAAGTTAATTGTCTTGGATGATTTTGCCAAATATATTAAATAAGGGACAGAAATAAGTTCTATAAGGACCAATAACAAAGTGGATTTTGGTTACAATCTGATGGAATAGTCCACTTGTTGATGGAAGATCCCATTTGTACCAATCGAGTTAAAAGAATTACTTTTTAAAAGTAGATCTGCTAAACTTCTTGAAAAATTGGAAAAACACTAAAATTGTGTATATAATTCTGGGCTTCCAACTCTAAACATCGACTTCTCCACACTTATCAAGTTGCTCCAAGAACCTGATCCAACTCCAGAAGAAGGTGGAAGTAATTCAGAATCTACGATAAGTTAGCCACACAAATCCCTTGTAAGTATGCTATTTCTTATCTAGTCTAACAGTGTTTCACTTAAGGTTCAATAATGTATAATGAGAGAAAAGTAAAGAATACTAACTGTACTAAAGAAATGATAGATTTGATAATGCTTATAGTGGAACTACTGAAAGAAAGCTTAGAAGATTTGTTAATGCAGTTGTACAGATTATGACCAAGATAATTTCTTGTGTTAACTTAGTTGATAACTAATGATGTGTCTGTGTTATTGAACATAATAGAAGGTGTTATTAATGAACATCTAGATTTTTAAAGTGAAGAATTCAATAATTTAGAGTTAATGTTGTTTCAAGATAACCTTGAGAATTTTGATATAAATGAACTGTTCAACAGTATATAAAATAAAGAAGTTATTTGATTTGTATCCAGTTGTCTCTGTGTGAGTTCTCTATTCCACACGTAAACTTCAAGTTGGTGGCTTGTGTGCTCTGCTCATGAAAGCATGACCCGAAATTGAAATAAATTTCTTTGTAACGAGCGTAAAGTTGAATCCAACATATGCCCGTTACAGGCATTCAGCAAAGTGCATACCTCTACCATGCAGCATTGATCATATTTGGCTTGTAAAAAATATGAAAATGTGTCCATATGTCTGTTTATCAATTGACTTAGACCATTTTTGGCAGCACAATGTGGAATAATATTCTACATAAGTCCACCAAGGTTCATCAAAATTGGATCATTATGACTGAGATATAAAGTAAAAATAGTGTGGAAAATTGGTCCCCATGTTAACAGATAGGGATTTTTTCAATTTTCGTGACCTTGCTTTGTCCTTTACCTTTGACCCTCCAAAAACTAATCATTTCTATGTTCAGTCATAGTCCAACTGTATATAAACTTTCATTCAAATTCACTCAGCCATTTGAGAAATATTGCTGACAAACACACAGGGGTGAAAACATAACCTCTATCACCTTAGGTGGTGGAGGTAACAAAGGTCATGATTAATCACAAATTTAAAACTAAATATTCAAAAAACAATTTTCATTTAACTTATTTTCATATATGTATCACAGGTCAGTTTAATGCATTCATTATCTCTAATAGTTTTTGATGTTAGGTGGCAACATTGACAAGGGACTTCATACATCTTTGTCCTCTTAGTATTCAACACCAGTAACCATTACCTTATCTTTGAAGATGCCTTTCAAATGTACTTTATATATATAAATATATATAACTTATGACAATCATCAGTCAAATGGCTGATACTCACTGAAAGGGGAATGGATTTCTGAAGATAATGAAGTAAGGGAAATTTGATGAAGTAACTTCCTGGGATTTATACTCAAGTCTTTTGGAGATGACCTATATTTAAAGAACGTGAGAGAATGTGATTATTAATATAAAAATTCTTATTTTAAAAGTGCATCTGAAAAGCACTTGCCTAAAGCTTCATAGTAACAGCATGATAACCATAATTCAGTATTTTGGTAAATGTGGTTACTATAAATTCAAAATTCACCCTTTATAGACAAAAGAAGTAATTTTATTTTAAATGTATACTGAACAGTATAAATGCTTGAAAATAAACTATTATCACAAAATAAATACTATAACAAACTAAATACTATGAAGGAAGTAATCGAGAAGTTCATCTTGGTTCTTTTGCTACTGTGCAAGAAGTTACATTATTTGGATGTTTGTTGGTTACACTTTATATTAAACAATAAAAATTTTATATTTCTGACATTAGAATTTTATACTTCCAATTATGAAATTCCTCACAACTAATGTTTCTTTTATGTTTATATTGCAAACTAGCTAAGTTTCTTTTACTCTTGTATCCTTTAAAAATGTATACTTCCCTAAAAGTTGTATATATACATGCTCTTTTAAGCTTGTCATTTCTAAGTTAGGTTTAATTACGTGTACTTGTTTCGTTACTCATTACTTTTAAGTAGTAGTATCATAACAAAAATTATTTGTTAAATGAGGACTTATTGTAAGCACTGCACTGTAACTATACATTTTTTGGTTGGTAATCCCAGTGGCATACTTTTTTTTTCTGTTCTTATTATGTTAACATAATTTAAGAAACATTTTGACACAAATTGTAAACATTGATTGTGGCAAGTTTAGAGTGTATTGCTCAAAATTACATTCTTCTGCATTAAGTACTGTTAGAGACACATTATGCTTGAAAAATATATTTAAACATCACAATCAGTACATACCTACACAAATTACACGAAATTTGGTGTCCATAAAACAAAATAAAAATTATATTTATGAATTTCTGCCAAATTATAGCATAACACTATGGCTTACTCAAACTGTGTTTAAGTATGTCGTGGCTTACTCAAACTGTGTTTAAGTATGTCGTGGAAGAAGATTCTATAACTTGAAAAAACAGTACATATCTACTAAATTTTTTTAAATCTGTAGTATAATGATAACAACAAAAGAAATGCATAAACGTTCAAATGATTTATCTTCTACTTCATTTTTACTCATCTGTTGTAAGTACAGAAAACACAACAGTAGCTCATCTTTAAAACTTGTTTTAAAAAACCTTCTGACATTATTTAAAAGTTTTGCATGGAGGAAAATAAAATCCAGCTTAAAACGAAAGTAGAAGCAAAATAACAATAGAATATTTACTTCTCAGGAGTTGAACTTCTATCTTGCATATTTCTAAAGCTCCACACAGATGGAGTTGAAAACCTATTTAAAAAAACAACTCATGCTTTATTTATTTTACCAAACAAACAAATTGATATGAACATCAGTAGCTTAAAATATTATATGGCAATCTTTCTAATCAAATAATTACTACTAGACAGAAAACTGGTATCACATCTTACAGAAAAGAATGAAAAAATGCATTTTCTACATATTAAAAACAAAAATACCTATCTATCTATATATTTCAAACCTTCTGATACACTAATGCTTGAAAACAAACTTTAAATGAAGTATGTACAACCTGATAATCACTTCCTAGAGCACTAATTTCAAGGAATAAAATGCTGTTAGCTGATTAAGGGCACTTTAAACTTGTGACACAGTAAATTTTTTTTTTACCCGTGGAATGGAATTTACTTTAAACGTGATGTTTATCTTAAAAGCATTATAAACAGACTCCTCATGTTTTTAATCTTTAACTAAATCTTTAATCTTGACAACTGTTGCTATAATTCAGAATCAAGGAAAATGTGAAAGAAAACTCACCATTGGTCTTGATAAGAAGTGAAAGATCTAGCCTTGGGAAGTAAAAAGTGAAGCTGTTTGGAAACATTCTCTTCTGGTAAGAAATGGATAAATTTAAAAATATATAAAGGTTACCACACAAAATCCTCTATAAAAGAATATTCTTTGCATAACAAATACTTTATTGGTTTCTTATAAAAAATAACTGTCAAGTTTTGTAAGACTGTATTCTTTACAGTAGGTGTCTGTGACTTGTTGGTGATAAATTTCACTATAAACAAACAGCAACACAGTCCACTTATTTCAAAATATATATTAAAACAAATCAAATATAAATACAAATATTCATTACACTGTTGGTTACCACAGTTATATCCAGAGCTTTATATAATTTTCTCTTTTTTTGTCAAAGTCCACACAGGCTGGTTCAGTTACTTTAGAACACAACTGACAAGACAAATTATTGTTCTCTACTTTGTTACTACAATACATTCTACAATAATTTCACTATAATAATTGCCACTATACACTCTTTATCACTAAATTCACTCACGATTATGCATTCTAGAACTAGAACTAAATAATGATTTTTTCAAGATATATTTATACCCTGATAAAAGTCTAGAACATTCACCCAATGCTAGATATTCTGATGCAATAATACTCAATTAAACCAACAAGAAACTCAGAAAGTTCTAGCAACATGATGCAATAATCTCACTATTGTAAACAATCACTAATTCATAGCAATTGAACTACACAATGGATAATTTATAAATAGTTATGTAAACAAACTTACCATAAAAATATTGTTTCTAAAAATAACTAAATACGACACCCGCACTATGTAAACTATCAAAATCTTAAAGCTCACTGAAATACTTGTGTATATCTAACAATAATTCTAAAAAAGCTATCATTTTTTACATTATAATTTATTTGCAATATAATGCTATTGCATGAACAGTATTAAATACCTAGCTTCGAAGGTTATTTTATCTGCACTCACCTTCTTCTTCCTTTGATGAAACTGGTTGAAATATCTCAACGTCTTACGTTATATAAATTTTAAAAAATAATTTTCAGTAATAATATTTCAGAATTTGTTTTATATGGGGGTAACAAAAAATATGTGAATTAAGAACTTTTAAGAGGAGTATTACAATTACAATTAATTTTAAAAAGTAGTCATTTAGACTGCGTGTAAAACTGATTTCTTCCTAACTATATCAAGTAGTATCAAAGGGAAAATTGTTTTTAATAACGATTGTAATATAAACAAATGAATTTCTTTTTTTTTCATGCAAAGCCACATGATAGGCTACCTGCTCTCTGTCCACTATGGGGAATTAAACCATGGATTTTAGCTTACCTTGAATCATCAGGAGACAATATAAAAAAGTAAGACATAAAATTACTAACAAATGACAAAAGATTAAGTCATACATTTAGGTAATTGAAAAATAACCCTTTATAATTTTTGCAGTTAAGTTTCTTACGTTTAACTTCCTGTTCGTAATCCTTTACAATTACTGGACTGCCTGGCCTGTCACAGAACTGATTAAATTTAAGAGTAAACTGAGTAGTGCTCATACTAGCTGTAAGGGTCTGATCCCCTGCAGAAACTGACTTCCTAGAAATTGGAGAAGGCTTGAGCAGGTACAACACTTCTGAGCCAATATGTTCTGTACTATTTCTGGAAACAGCATTAAATTACATACTGTATTAGTATTCCAGACTCTGCAGGTTTACCATGATACTGTGTGTCAAGATTCTAATTTGTATTTTTTTTAAAATACAACAGATATTATCACCAAACCACATATTTTATCACTTACACTTTCAACATACATAGTTCTTCAATATTAACCATCAAATTACTAGCTGTTTTTATACTGTTCATTACTGGTAGAGTCTACATATTGAATCATAAGAAAATGATAAAAACTGGGTGAAATCAGTCATTTTCTATATCAAATACTTAGGTGGCCCCTTAGTAGTAATTAATGTGATTAATTAAAATATTGATTGTATTTTCTTTTTTTGTTGTTGTTGTATGTTATTAGGGACCAACCAACAAATCACTGACCCTTCAATCAATTTGGTGCATACACAATATTGAAAAATGTGTTTAAAATGCCAGTGGGATTCATATGGGGCCCACAGGAAGTAAACACAAGTTTTAACTTCCAGATTTGATATGTATCAAATGCTCTCTCTCTTCTTTAAATATAAAATTATTATTTTCATAGTAAAAGCCAAAAACAAAAATCACAACCTATTTATTTCATTGATTTCATGTTTTCATGTAAAATAAGTAGTTACACAACTTTTTTTTTATGACACAACAAACGAAAGTACATTAATATAAAATCTATTAAATCATAAACATTAAGTAGTACAAAATAAATATTTTTAGGAAATGTGATGAAACATTTCTCTTACTTTTATAAAACATTTTTTGTCATTTGAATCTTTTTTACTGCAACTATTACTCTTCTTTATTATGGTGTTATGGTATCCTCTGGTGCACTGATTTTTTCTTAAAAGAATTGGATAGAATCCACAGAATAAGTAGAGGTTTGAAAGAAAATGTTTTTGGGAAGAAAATCTGAATTCTTTGATATTTGATTGAATTTATTAAAACAATGGAGTGGACATGGTATATAACAGTGTGAAATATCTTTTATTTAACAACAAGTACAATCAAAAGACAAAAATTTGTTGTATTTATGGCATTTTTACTGAATGTTTGACAGCTCTCAATGAATAAGTGAATCTCTTTACCAGGCATCTCTCTCTCTCCCATTGCAGCCCCCTTCAATTTAAGCTCCATTAGCATCTTGAAGGTGGTGGGCATAATACATAGGAAGAACAGCATGACATGAAAATTGCACACACCATCTCATATGTTGAAAGTAGTCTTAGGTCTGTTGACAGGTCAATGTCTAGCTGCCAATTCTAAAGTGTTGAACTGTATGACACCTTCCAATGCATCTAGGCATTCATCTGTCTGCAGATGGGGAGGAAACACTTAGTATACCTGCATACTGCAATGTCAAAATACCATAATATGGCATAGCTATGAATCCAGCAAGTCCAATATTAGTAATGAAAATTGTTTATTTGTTTGTTTTGTAGTTAAGCACAAAGCTACACAAAGGGCTATCTGTACTCTGCCCACCACGGGTATCGAAACTCAGTTTCTAGCAATGTAAGCCTGCTGACATACCACTGTGCCACTGGGGGGGCTAATGATGAAAATAAAGATAAGTCTGCAGATGTTTTTTCACATTTCTCTTAATTAGTCCATAGCAGATTAAACAGAAGCATAAAGCCTTGATTTTTTCTAACTTAAATGAAGTTTATCAAAGAAAATATTAAACTGTATAGGAAATAAAGGACTAAATATCAAAATTATTTTGATAAAACTGGAATATTTGGCAGGTATACTACTGACAAGAACAAAACAGTCCACCCACAGTGGTGCCTTAAGCATTGAAAATGGGGAATTGACCTATAGAAACAGGTTGTGTTTCAGTGAATCAAGACGAAAGAAAATCCACATGTGACAAAATCTTAATAAAGCACTGCATCTTACAAGTATCATTCCAACAGTTTAATGCTCAAATTTGTATCAGTGTAGGAGATGGTTAGCTGGCCTGGTTGTGTTTCTTTCCTCCTACCTGACAGTAGGGGGCATTGTGTAAATACATATACATCTTAGCAGATCATGCTTTTATCTTGGAATGTTACTTCTGTATCAGAATAGTGCTACCATGTAGTAGAACAACAAGGATACATTGATCAGGTGGGTGCTGCATAGGAAAGGTTTACAGAAGTATACAAAACTAGTTATTCTCCTTGACCAGCAAAGTGCAATCAAAGATTTGTGAAATGTCTTGGAATAACAGATCAGTTGTTGTTCACATCTGCCATCCACTCTCATAAAACCATTCATGGTTCTCATGAAAGAATAGATTGGAATACCACAGAATGTCTTTCAACATCTTATAGATCCATGTTGTGATATGTTTAAGTTGCCAGTTGGGCCAAAGGTGGTCCTATTCACTATTTAGGTCTTTTTTAACTGTTTGGGAAGAGTAAAAAGAACTTGTACTTATGGACTTCAGTTGATAAAGTATACAAATGTTTAAGTATATTACAGTGCACTTATCAGTTCCAACCACAGTATGTTACCAAGAAACTTCAAAAATTTAGAAACAAAGTGGAACCTTGAAACACATGAATACTCATAACATTAATATACCTGAGTAAAATATCGTTTTCATAGAGATAGTTCTTACCTTCTATACAAATCAGATGATTTAAATGGAGACATATCCACTAATCTGGACTTCTTAGGAGAACCCAGTATCTCAAAATGATCTGCTGATCGCTTCACAGGATACTTAGTCACCCGAGTTGGATAAAATATTTCTGACAAACTATGGGTTAAAAATAAGTTTTACCAACACACATATGAATATGTACAGTGTTTTATAGAAACAGTATAGTTATCAATACCTGGTACAAGAAGAGTTAAACTTAACTCTGAATATACTTAAGTTCCACTGTTTGAAGAAGTAGTAAATAAAATAGTGTGGATGTGTACTCCCAACACTTGCTCATATGAAGTTCATTACAGGTTCATTATATGAACAAGAATAATATACAGTGGCACATTTCACCCAAATGAATCACCTAAGATTCATAAATCCTTTATTGTTGTGCACCAGTGATAAGAATGTTTACAGTCCAAGATGGCAAGTAATTTTAAATTAATACAAGATAATATAAGCCAAAAAACCAACAAACCTACTGCAGATTCTACAAACTATGAAAGTAGAACACAATTGTTATAAGAGAAATTAAATTAACATTAATTCTAAATATTTAAAAATAAAATTGTGGATTATAAGTCTTCTCAATGATCAAGCAACAAGTTAACTAAATGCAAAAATAAATATAAATTGGTATATAATTTTGAAAGTGTGATTATATCTTTTTTAAGATTCTCACCTTAACACCCAGTCTGTGAGTTAAATAAAAAAAAAGTTTAGAGGATTGGGTGGGCTACAGAGGAGTGTCACATTTTCTGTTATTCAAGTTAGAACCAAAAAATATATTTTCTCCAATAAAAGGCTCGATCTTTTAACCTCAAATTACCACACTTTACTGCCAAAAGAACTAACCTCTTGACAGTGTTTTTCAATGAAGATACAGAGTTTAGGGGATTGGCCAGACTGTGTTCTTCTTGCACAAAATAAGAGAAGTGTTCATGTTGCTGTATCATGATTGGTCAAATAAAAAGTGGTTAAGAACATTAGATCCTGACTGGTCTATATTCACTCATGTGCCATGCCTGTGATACTGTCCTGACATTACTGCTACTACTGTCTCTGCTTTTCCTGCTACTCATGCTGCTCTGCTACAACTACTGTTGCTACTACTATTACTACTATCTAATCCTTCATACATGAGACTAGCTTCGATGAGTATTTATTTGGTCAAGCTGCTGTGCAATTCATATTCCAGATATTACAAGGATTTCAAATCTCTATCCACAATTAAAGAGAAAAAAAAGAGTATTTGGAAGCTTTGTTTGGGGATCAATCCACCAAAAATGTTTTACTTACAGACTGGACATTAAAACATGTGAATTAGAACTAATGATTACATACAAATATAAGGAAATTTAATAAACTAGCAAGCAAATCAGCAACATGTGACAAATGTATATCCATCACTGAATATTATACATATATTATTAAACTTTATATGATGTATTCCTTCAATTGAAGGAGTCTTATTGCAATATTTTGAAGAATGTTTTATACAAAATGAGATAATTTAGTTAGAAAGCAAAACTTATGGACAAGTTAGAAGTTTAACATCGTGTTTTGATTTTCTGTCTACTTATTAGAAACCTATGTAACAAAATGGTTGATATAGGATTTTGGGTTTTATGCAATTAGTATACCATATAGTAGTCCTATCTGATCAAGTACCTCTTGTAATTTTTAATAGTCCGAGTTCTTACTTGATTATTAAGATAATGGTGCTTCATAATAATGGATTGAAATTGATGTCAACGTTTGTCTTAAAGTTTTTCGTAACAGCATAATCTTATAAAATACCTAAGATTTTTTTTTGTAGCGATATCACCATAATATTTAGATGGCTTATAAACTGTACACTGATATTTAAATTGCAAGTCAATTGTTCCTAGGAAAAACTGTAACTCTACCTGTCTGCTTTCAATTTGGATGATGTTAAAGGATCACGAAAAAATGGAACATTATTAACCATATAGTTCAGATTCTCATGCAAGCTGAAAAAGAAAATCATTGTTATTTTATGATCTAAATAATATAGATACAAGTTTTTCAAGTAAGTTAAACATAATTTCTTCTTGGAGTACTGAAACCCAAATTTTTTTACTGAGAAAAATCTACATGTATTAACAGACTATTCTGTTTGTTAGTAAATTCCTACAAATGTTTTAATTAACAACCAGCTGTAAAATTATTTTCAGACCAGTAAGAAATAAAATGTTTATTTTCATCTGTAGGAAATAAAATTTTAACTTACTTTAATAATCCATTTCTGATGACAGAAGTAGCTATTATGTAGTTTTGAAATATAAACTTATGAGTCAAGGAAATGTGAACTCAAACAATTTACTTCTAGATTTTTTTTTTTTTTCATAATCATGTGCTGTCGGTAGGAATCATAGAAAATAAATATTATATAAGTGGCTTACTGCATGCATGCATTAGAAAACCAAAAATACTGTATAAAATAAAGAATGCCAATTGTTGTTATACTAATAACTAATTTTGTCAAAGAGACAAACAAAAAAACAATAACTTCCTTTATCGTTATTTTTAACTAGTCAGTCAAGGAGAAATTAACTTTGACCAATTAACTTCAAAGTTGGTCAAAAAGAGACAAAATTAAGAAATAAGAGCAAGTATGGAATGAAGTTGGATTAATCACAAAAAAATAAACTGAATTTAACCAATCATAGTCAATCTTGACAAGAAATATTTATTTTGGTCCTCTGCAAACTATTACGTATTTTTGAACTAAAATATTATTGAATATTTTTGTAATATAATATTCATGGAAGAGCTGATTTCAGAGCAAAACCAAGGAATGGGTTCACTGAGCTCTTAAGTGCATGTTTCGATCAGTCATCGAAAATTTGAAAATCAATTCTACTTAACACCAGTAAACAAAGTATAAGCAATATATATATACAGGTCACCCAAATCAATTAAATAATTTTGAAAAATAATGTTATGTCATTTTATAATATTACTCAAATATTATAATGTATCCAAAATTGTCCCATCGAAATATAAAAGCAGTAAAAGATGAATTCTTGTAAAACAAGCTTATAATACATATTGTCTAATAAAACCTTTCCACTCCCTGAACCATACCATATACTGCTATATTTTAGTGGCAAAAATTTGTTTTTAAACAATGTTTCAGCTTAAACATAAGTCTTTACAAGTCATTGAATATAAAAAACAACAACAAAAAACAGTTTATAGAGGCAGGTCTACCATGAATAAATGTAAACTTTTCACTTTGTCTTTCTTTATGCCAACCAAAGTTGTTATTTTCCTACACTGAAAATATATTGCTGTTAAGTACTTACCTCTACTCACAGAATAGCTTTTCTCATTCAGTGCTGTCCTCTATATGCAAAATGTTTCTCTCACCACCAGCCTTGAAACTACCATCTACTCCACAATCAACGTGATTTACTGTGTCTTTCCATGAAAATTATCATGTGACAACCTTCCACCAATAGGAGTGCAACACACCCTCCTGATGCATGTTGCTCCTTCTATTCTATTTCTCCTAACAATCACTTTGAGATGAGGCAGAAAATAAGCACAAGTAATGGGGAGGAAGGGTGAAAAGTGTGACAGGAGGTAAGTACCTAATGAAAATATATTTTCAGTGTAGGAAAACAATAATTTCTGATACAGTACCTTACCTCTCTTCTCACATAATAGCTAGAATCCCACATTGAAAAGATGGAGGAACTGGTGCAAGGGATATAGATGAACATCCTTTAAAAGCATCCAAAGAACATCCATGGAGAGTGACCTCCACTGAAAGAGGAACACCCATGTGAAACCACACCACTTCTATACCAGGTATACTCTTTGCCCAGTGTGATAGTAAGTGTTGCATAATTGGGCAGAAATCATGAGGAGCACATCTCTGATTGGATGAAAAAAATGGTTGGTCCAGCCCTACATCCCACTGAAATCTAAGGAAAGCATAACCCAAGAGATGAATGCATACAGGGTCACCAACCACATATATAATGGTGGAAAAAGCTAAAATAAATGTGCTCCATGGTTTAGAATGGCTAGGGTCAACTCCAGTGCAAAACCATTGGGTATATATCAATCGACCCATAGTAGAAGGAGGATCCACATCATCTTTACCTCAAGTTGAGGAAACAGAAGGGAGAAAGTTCATACCACCCAACTAAAGAGGACACATGTGAAAATCCACAACCAACACCAGCCACTCCAGAACCTGACCTCCAACTGACTGTAGGAAGGTGTGTGTGTGTGCCAGTGTAGTGGTTCACTCAAATCCAAGACCAATTGGACTAGTTTCACTCCACGCAACATCATCCTCCGAGTTTAAACCTCACAGGGTGGAGTGCATGGAGAGAATACATTTGCCCTGTGCAACATCAGCCTCTGGAACTCAATCGCACGGAGTTGGAGCACATGGGGCAGAACCACATGACCATGGTAGGATGAGGAATCCCTACCAACACATATGTGAGGACTTACATCAGTTGGTCCAGCTCTAATCCAAAAACATTCTTTGGGAACTGATATCAAGTTTATGGTAGGATGAGTGATGCCAAGAGGAGGGGTGAGCTGCATTGTGGCAGATCTATTCATGATATAGAGTATGATTTAGGTGGAGGATCTACACCTGGAGAACACCAATGCCTTACTCGTAACTGAATGGAATTGAACTCTTTCAGTAGTCAGCCTCCATGGTCCACTACCCCAGTAACTAAAAACTACTAAGGATTCCCTTTCTCCACTAGAAGAAGGGGAAAATGCACTGGGGAACCCAGAGGAACACCGAAACTGAAGACAGTGCAATGAGTTACCACAAAGTCCCGATTTTGAAAAGCAGACCATCCCCAATTTATTCCATCAAAATAACAGCAGGGATGGGTAGCTATCCCCTTCTGCTTTACTTATGATAGTCCATGAGTCGGTACAGTCTGGAATGAGCATATTTATGGAACAAAACACTGCAAGGAAAACCTACAGTGGTCTTGTGTAACACCCCATCTCAACAGTGTATGTTACTGGATTATTGGTGGGTTACATCCTCTGACTTGAAGAAACGTTGGTGGGATGTTCCACCCAACCCTCATCATGCAACATCATCTTCATGGGCCTAGCCCCACGAAGGTGGAGTGCTTTGAGTAGCAGAGTATATATACCCTGTGCAACATCAACCACTGTGCACAACCACATGAGGTACAGCACATAAAAAAATGTTCCACACCAGATAGTCACAACCTCCAAGCAAAAGTAGAAGGAGGTGAAGCATGGAATTACGATGCACCGCCCTGTGCAACAAAACCCCCAGAGCTGAACACAAAAAGTTGAAGCACATGGGGTGTATGTGTACCATGCACATCATCATCTCCCAGACAGAACTGCGCAGAAGCTGGAGCTCATGGATTATGGTCGATACCACTCGCAACCTCAGTCCTTGGGGCAAATAGAACCAGGTTCGTGCAACATCAATCTCACAAAGACTGAATGCTTGGGCCACCAGGCAGTTGATAATATACCCCTGTATGACTTATAGTAGGCCATACAGTGCAGAATTTTGTGACTGATATGCAATAAGTATATCTGCACAGGCAACACTTGCCATTGAGCAGGATCTATGACCTAATATGGACATGACTCTGTAATAAAAAGGAAAGGCAAACTTACCCCGTCACAGTCGAACTGATGTTTGAAGTATGGTGACAGGTACCTGAATGAGGAAGAAATGGCCACCTAAGGAAAATATGATGGGTAGTCTACATGCCTGAACAAAGAATCTTTTCCAAAGGACAATGAAGATGAGATGCCAAGGAGAAGGTGATGTGCCATATCTGATGAGACATCTCCTGGAAAAGTCTTCTGGAAGAAGGATACAGGGAAGAATACACCAGACTGATAAGCTGATGAACCCAACCTGTCAGGATTGAAGGGGAAAGATCATGCTGAGTAAAGGTTCCAGTGAATGAAGAGGTGGGATTGGGAACCATGGAAGGAAACCATGGGGGCAATATAACAATGAATAGCATAAACAGGACATAGAAGTCTATCCAGATCCAACTGGAAATAGAGGTGGGAATTCGAGAGAAGGGAAAACAGCATAAATGAAGAATTTCCCACACAAGCTACCAAAGTTTTGGGCAGAAATGATCGATCCAGATAAAGGATAACATACATGGAATGGAAAAGAGTACATGAAATGTTGATGGCAAAGATCTCAGACTGATGATGCTCACAGGCTAAGAGGGGAAGGAAATAAATTCTAACGGATATATGATAAAGGGAACAGAAGGCCAGAGGCTCAAACAGAGGGAGTGTAGAACAATACTGAAATCCTAATCTGGAAGGACTGCCTGATGGGAAGGTCGACTAATCTGGAAGAAATGGAATAATGGGAAAATGGTAGGACAGAAAAACCCAGAACAGTACCTGGAAAAATGGAAAGTACTGGACATGGTTGTATGATAACCTGCGATGGATGAAACAGAAGCACTATTAACAAACAGCCAGGTGAGGAAAGCTGATAGAATAAGAGCAGTGGGCCAAGAAGGAGAAATTTCATGTCAGAGTGACCAACAGTGGAAGACCTTCCACTTTTGTTGATGAAATGCGAGGAAAGAAGGGTGAATGGAACAGAACAAAATGGATGTTACATGCGTGGATAAACCACATAGAAGGGATGGTGTCAGAGGAAGAGGTAATGGGGGAGTTATTAGGAGCTGAAAAAGAAATGGAAACCAGGGCTGTGCTGGCCAGAAACGAGGAACCAGAACGACCTGACATGGAGTGGATTGGATGATTGAAATCACCCTGAGAAGGAGCCAGATTGGGGAGTAGGCATATAAGTACCAGTTTATCCAATCCAATCCTGATTGAGAGCATCCACAGCCAAGGCTTGGGGATGAGGAACCAGTGACTAAATAAGAGATAACTTGGTATTAAGGCAAGGGGACAAAAGCATCCAGGTGAGGAGCACCCCACTGAGTGTAAAGCCACTGGAAAAGCTGAGAGTTGAGAGACACAGTGAACTTGACTGGGTCGGGAAAGATTGTCTGCCAGAAGATTGAAGGCACTCGGAGCATGATACACCATGAGACATATATGAAGCATGTGGGGCCAATAAAGGAGTTCCAATGTCAAAGAACAAAGCATACGAGAATGCTTGCCCCCTTACTGATTGATATATACGAGACCACACTGGAGTTATTGGAATAGATCATAACCAATTTGTTCTGAACAAAGCGAAGGGAATGATCCAAAGCAGGACGTACTGCCAAAAGCTTCAAGATGTTGATATGGATGGATTGTTCAAATGGAGACCACTGTCCAGAACCCTACTGATGTTCCAGTTAATGGTGGAGTCCAAGGGATCCCCAACAAAATTCCACTGGTCGTGCAACATCCACTGAAGAGAATGCATATGTGCATGACCCAATGGAATATGGGCTTCCATGAAAGCCCAAGTCCCCAAAAGCAACATAACCTTATGTGCAGAAAATGAGGAGGGGAGAGGTTGTGGAGAACTGAAAGCTTCATTGAATGGAGAAGGTTGGACCCAACTGAGGTAGGTGTTGAAAAACACCTCCAAGTGGACAGGACATTGGGTAGGTATAAGGAAAGAATACTCCATTTTGATAATCCAACCCACACAAGCTGCTTCTGTTAAAAGCAGATGAATGTGGTGAGAATCTACAAGCTCGGAAGGAGCTAACAGAAGCTGGTCATCCATGTAGTGGTGTAAGCACAGGCCCCAAGTGTGCATAAGTTGGGCAAAAGCCCTCACCATCTGATTAAAGACATAATGTGCCAAGACAAGCCTGAAGGGTCACAAATGAAACTAATAAACAACCCCTTTGTGGACAAACCAAAGATAGCATCTGGACTGTGGGAAGATGAGAATATGAAAGTAAGTGTCTGAGGACAAATTGATTACAGGATGCTAGTCCCCAGTCTTCTTGGAACGACAAAAAGCATGGAGTTAAATCACAGAGAAGGAATACTGACAGGCTCTATAGCATGCTGTGAGAGGAGAGTCTGAACCACCTCGGAAAGATGTTGGCAAGTACTGGGATCCAGAGGAGCAGGGGAGGACACAGGATTGGGAGACAAGGGAGATGGGAAGAGGAACTAGAGAAAAGTCCATTTGAGAGAACCTGGACCACCCACTGGTTGGAAGTGAATTCCCACCATAGGTGGACAAAACCAGACAAATGAACTCCCACTGGCCCAGTAACAGCAGGATAGTCACCGGAACCAGATGGTGAGCAAACACCTCACTGAAGGACCTCTGGAGAATGAAACAGGCAAGGGTTGGGAGAGCATAGGATGGGAAACTGAATAGAAGCTGTAATGGGCCCAGGTTGAGACAAACGAGCAACTAAAAATAAATCTACAGAAAAGGGGCCATCAGTAGGTCGCAGAGATAAGTGGATGGCAGGCACACCTGAGACAAGAGAGCATCCCTGCTCAGGGGATCCCAGCAGCAAAGAAGCCACATGTGAAGGGATAGGGCAGAGGAGGAAAATAATGCCAACATGGAGGAATTTTGGGTATAGGTATCCTCTGAAAACCTCTCAAGGGAATGGTGGCTAGTCTCAGAAAAAAGGTGGATGGATGAAAGGTACCAAAGGAGAGATAAACTCACTGAAATCTCAGGGTCAGCCCCCCCCCCTCCCCACACACAC